TAAAATACATTTCATGTTCTAATACATAAAAATTCATAAATTCAAATCAAAATGCTGAAATATACTTAATTGTTAAAAGTCTCTCCTCTGTGAAACGGACTTCGAACCAACCATGGCATAGAATTTTCAGTCCTGTTGGGTATCATAAACGTCACTTGTCTCAGCTCCTCCCAGACCCATAGGATCAACATCTAAGGGAGAGAGACCCAGGCAGGCATGTTTGTAACAGGCTCCCCCGGTGAGTCTGATGCCCAGGCAGGTCTGAGAATCACCATTTATAGATCACAACAGGCTCATTAGAGACCCATGATTTTAATCCAAGAACTACTGGGACCCGACCCAATAATTGCATTCAGTGGCTTCATTCATCACTTGTAGGTGGAAAAGCAATCATTAGTTCAGTAAGAAGAGGGATGGGCGGAGAATCCATAAAGGACAGGGTTTCTCAGGGTGACTTCCGAGCGCAGTTTAATCCTCACCCGAAGTACCTATTACGTGAAGACGGTGGGTAAGACAGGCTTTCACAGGCTGATTTCAAGTCTCTCTTGCTTTTCTGTCTGTCTCCCTGCTAAGGAGTAATTTCTTAGAGGATTACTGCTATTTAAGCCCACCCTCTTATCCTTTTTGCTACGAATTCTTTCCAAAGTATATAAAAGCGCATTTCAACGTGTACGGAGCTAGTTAATCAAAAGGATGTTCAAGTTCGCCGGCGTGGTGTCCTTTGCTAAGAGTTGACATTGAAATAAGCACGTGCATCTGAGCTGTAACCGCGCCCGGCAACCATGTATCTTCCCTCCACCCCCCATTTTTTTCCCTAAACTCAGAAGCTGAAATTCGGTTAGCCTGCCCCTTTATTGTTATTCACCCTATAGTATCCAACCAGCATCACTATTACATTAACGTCATAGATCATCTCCATAGTTGAGTGCGAATGCTCACTCTGCACCCTTCTCGAGTTAACAATTTCAGTGTGTTCATTGTATTTGTGAATGTAGCTGCAGAGTAAATAAGGCAGCACAAGGAGGCTTTAACCTGGTCCCAAAACCTACAACAAGGCTACAAAGCCAGGGGTGTGTTGACTTAAAAACTAGATCACTTTTCCATTTCCAAGATGTCCTCTTTTCTCCTAGAAATGCTCAAATTCGATTCTGATGTTATGACGCGTCAAGACCTGTACAAGGCCCGGCGGCATGTGACTTCTCAACTCATCTTACACTGTCTTCCCAGCTCCTCACCGGGCGAGAGAGAGGGGGGGGGGGGCCTTTATTTAATCACAGGCCGCTTTCCTGCCTCAAGTCTTCACTCTTACTCTTCCAGGGCCTGGGACATTGTTCTTTTCCTTAGGGATTCATTTCATGACTCCCCCTGCCCCCCTCCACCCCCATGCTGTAATTTACATTCCCTTTTTATTCTGTAGGAAGAAAAGCACATTAGACAGTGTTTTTGTCTAGTCTTGACATGTGCTTTACTCAGAAGAGCTTGGTGCTGGAATCATTCGCAAAAGCTGTACAGACTGACTGTATTTAAGAATCTTGGTGGGTTGGTTTGGGCTTCTGCATACCCAGCGCGTTGCCGAGCGTTGGGAACGAACGGTACAGAACAGAGATGGGAGAAATGAGGAGCTGGGCTACTTTCTTTATGCAGAGTCGTTGGCAGGTTGAGCGTGGTGTGTAGCGTAGTGGCTTCGACATAGCTGAGAACTGAATCCCCTACAGCAAGGTGAGTGCAGGAACTACTGTGACAAGCAGCCACCTGGATTAATTTCTACATACATACTGCAGAGCAAAAAAATCTGAAAATTCGTCCTAGAAAACGAAGCTAAAAGGCCGTGAGCTTTTTTATTTAAACAAATTGGAACATCAAACATAAAAAGCCGAGGCGTGCGGCGTGCTCTTGATTGTGTGTACTGTCTTTCAGATCCATGGTGTAGGGCCCAGCTATTAAACCTCATACTTAAACAGATGAATGGCAATTCATAGTTCCTTGGTGGTATTATTATGAGTAGTTGTAATTCTTTAAAAATGTTGGTATTGCATTGTTTAGGTAGTGACAACAGGGCTACTATGAACTTAGTCGAAATTTATTGGGCTCTCTTAGAGTATTGAATATGGCATTTGAACAATTTCAAGTATAAATATAGGTTATGGCATTTTAACAATGCCTACTATAAATCAGGCTGCTATAATGAAAACAGTACAGAATAAAAAGGGGATTTAAATTACAACATGGGGGGGAAAGTCATGAAATGAATCGCTAAGGAGAACAATTGCCCAGGCCCTGGAAGAGTATAAGTGAACACCTGAGCCAGGAAAGAGGCCTGTGATTAAATAAAGGCCAGTGAGGAGTTTGGAGGAGCTGGAAAAGGAGTATAAGATGAGTTGGGAAGTGACTTGATGTCGTTACAGGATTGTTTCAGTAACTGGAAGGGAAAGTTACTGAAGAATGGCATGGTTCAGTTGGGTTTTAACAAGCTCATTCTCTTAACTGCGTGGAGAATGGATTAGATAGGGTTATGAGTAGAAGCTGAGAGATCGCTTAGGAGACTGATTGATGTCCAGGCAAGCAAAGATGGCTGAGTAGACGTGGATGTAACGAAAATGACTCAGATGTACTGGAGGTAGAACCAACAAAACTTACCAAGTATTACGCTAAGCGAAATAAGCTAGTCAGAGAAAGACAAGTATCACATGATCTCACTCCTATGTGGACTCTAATGAACAAAATAAACTGATGCATAAAATAGATCCAGAGACACATCAGCATGGAAGAGACTGTGGATTTTTAGAGGAAGGTCGGGGTGGGTGGGACACAGACAATGGTGTGGTGAAGGCCTGGGTGGGGGTGAGGGGTGGGCTAGGAGGGGTCAATGGAGAAAAGAAGGGGACACATGTAATAATTTCAACAATAAACATTTAAAATATCTGGGAAAAAACACATATTCAGCAGTTTCTAAAAAGCGACTATGAGTAAGTGATTTGAGAATTGGGTAGAAAAGTGAATAGATTTAAAAGGGGAGGAAAATATTTTTAAGGAAGAACAGAATGGAAGAAGTACAGATGACGGAACAGCCTAGAAGGCATATATTAAAGTAGTCGTATTTACAACTGGAAACCCATGCCCTGCTCTGGGCTTCCATTTCCTTAAAACAAGACAGTAAACCAGGCACCACTCAGAGGGTTTTTAACCGTAACTGGGTGAGCCTAGGCCACTGAGAAGTAATTTACCCAATGAAAATAAGGAAGTAAGATTGAACTAAGATCATTTTTCGTGAGTTCTCACTCTGGCTGCACATTCAAACCCCTGGGGAGCTTTTAAAAACTAGATGCCCCGCCCCCCTCCTCTACTGAAGTGGTTCTGATGTCATTAGTTTGAGGTGGGACAGGGGCCTAGGGGTTTTTTTGTTTTTGTTTGTTTTAATTCCACAGAGGATTGTAATGAGCAGCCAGGACTGAGAGCCCTTAGAAGTACAGCTGAGGATGTGAGGTCGATAAACCTAATCCATTAAAGACGATTAATAGCCAGAATGGGGTGAAGGACCTTCCCCCCAGATAAGGAATCAAAGGCCCATTGGTTAAACAGAGATAGTTCCTGACTACAAGAAAACAGTCAATTTTCTTCTGTGGTTTTTTTTTTCTTCTGTGATTTTTTTTATCTTTTTAGCAGAGACAAATGTTATTCTCACCTCACTTCTTAGGAACACAGACCTCATATAGAAATCACACGTATTTAAAAATATATTTTACTTCTAAGAGGTGATGCCTGACTGAAAGGAGAGGAAGAGGGGAGTCCCCGTCTTGCCCAGACACAGGGAAAATTAAGGAGTGGCAGTGGAAAGTGGTCACAAGGGATGAGGGATCCAGTTATTATTGGGGGATGGGAGAGGGGCGGCACTGTACCTGGCGACCACTTACACTTGGCATTTGGCCTCACTGTACCACACGCTGAATCCTCCCAACACTGAGCTCCTGAATGAACCACAGAATGAGCAGGGCGGGACTAAACGCCAAGCAACTGTTCCCCTGAAAAAGAGACCAAAAACATGATTATTGGACGGCCATGAAGATTCCCTGTGGCTGCTGGGTGAATGGGTAGTTGAAAACAGAGAAAAAAGCAAAGAAAAGAAAAAGGACGAGAAGAGAAGAGAAGGGAAGGGAAGGGAAGGGAAGGGAAAAGAGAAGGGAGAGAAGGAAAGAAAACGAGAGTAGCGATATCACCGGCCCTAATCATTCCATTCATTTGCAGTCTCCCTGGAATCAGAACCAGCGTTTAACACTGTTGTGTCCTTTTCTTTGTTCCACTCCACCTGCTTTGCACCCTAAATCCACTCAAAGCAGCAAAGAGAAACGTGTGGTGCGATTTCTAAATCCCACCTCTGGGGAGTTTAGGAGTTCCCACTGCCCCAGAGGTGCTCACAGGGGAAGGGTGCCGCCCCAAGATTCGCTGGGATACAATCTGGGAATCTAGCAAAAACGTGGGCTTTGAGTTTTGAGTGGGCGTGCCCACTGCAGGAAGAGAGAGAGAGAGAGAGAGAGAGAGA